ATTCTCATGTGGTCAATTAAACGACTCTTGTAAAGATATCTTTTTCCACAGGTTGAACATGTGAAAGGTTTCTTAGCCGTGTGAGTTGTCATGTGTGTTGTCAAGGAATTATTTTGAGAAAAGGTTTTGTCACAAATTTTACAAGAACATAGGTTTTGGTTTGGGTGAGCTTTCTTGTGTGTTTCTTGTTCTGAACTGTCAGTTTTGTCTTTCTGCTGTTTGTTCACCAAAATGTCGTCAGTCTCCTGTTTCAGCACAAGCTGCTCCTCATCCTGACTGATGCTGAGTTGCTTCTCTTCCTCTTTGAACTGTTGAGGTTCTGGTTCCTGTTGTTCCTGTTTTATCTGCAGAGGTTCTGGTTCCTCTTGATTTAAAGTGTATCTTCCCTCCTGGTTGCTGAGCTCACTCAGAACCTCCTCCTCCTCTTTACACGCCCACCTTTGTGGGAGAGCTGGACAAAAAGACAAAAAAAAAAAAGAAGCTTTTAAATGTGAGTCAAACAACAAACCTTTCACTTTAATTTATTGATGCATCTAAACAGTACTTTTAAAGGCTTTTCTAAAATAAACTCAACAAATGTACTTCTGAACAGAATGGAACTAGATGTGAGTCAAAATATTGTATCAAGGACTTCCTGATGAACAAGCAATGTGGCAATAGTTTTTCCTAGTAGCCCCGAGACAAATTTTCCAAAAAACCTTTTTCCTCCAGATAGAACTATATGGCTCAGAAATGTGGTTGCTGTCCTTCCATAGAACCAGCTCCCTCTTCTGCATCGCTCTGTAGTTTTTTCCTCTAAAACTGCAGATATATCGCTGAAATCTTCGCTGAAATCGTTCTCAACTTCCTCGGCTTCTGCGTATGCAGCCTTAGTTGTTTAAGGTTCGATTTACCCTGTGAGAAATATTTCTTATTGAATGCTGTAAGAAATATTTATTGATTTATTAATAAGCAATTAATAAATATTTATTTATTACTAAAGTTTTTGCACACAGAATGAAATCACAATAGTTAATATTTTTAAGACATGGAAGTGGTTTTGTCTACCCAGCATAGTGAGTTCCTCCATCATTTGTTCCTTACTATTGTGGGGGGCAGTGAGGGCTCAGCAGCGCTGGCCAATAAGGCTGGGCTACTGGACACATTCATCAGCTATCTATGATGGGCTAATTGCTTTTTAAGAGCCATTTTTAAGAGTTACTTTGGTTACAGTGATGGCACTGCTTGATCAAAGTCAAAAGAGACAGCTCACAATTTAAATGGCACAAATTCCTTCAAGCTGCAAGAAAAGATTTTATCTTCTTCAGAGTGCCTCCAAGTGCAGCTCGGAGGCACTCAAACTTGAAACAGAGAGTTTTATTTTATCTAAATAAAAACCATAATGGTCAACAATAAATAATAAATAATCTGGGGACTGACTTTTCCCCAGATTATTTAGTCTAACAGCCGTTCCACTACCTGTTTTACGGATTCAAGTATGACAACAAATACCAAAATAAAAATAGTCTTCAGCGAACGTGTGTGGTTCCATTAAAAAATAAAATCCCGCCGTACCAGTAATGAGACAGGGGTGCCTTCAAGTATGCCAAACACTCGGAAATATGCAGTTCGGCCAGCCGGACTGCGAATCTTTCAGGCGTTAACTCCTCTTAAAGATTTACTTTGTACAAACTGGGGTGCTGCACCATATTCTGTGACATCTGTAAATAGTGACTGTAGGAGGCGCTGTTGCACTTCACATCACACTTTGCTATATTTATGGACACAGAATATGAGAGCGCTCATCATATAGTGGGACCACTCTGTAACTAAATATTTAAAACAAACTTTTTCTGCTAACTCTCTCCTTCCTAAGTAACCATCTGACCATTAGTATTGGGACGTTACTTTTTATTATTATTTAAAAAAAAAAAAGCTTTATTACTATTAATAAAAGCTTTGCCATTTCTCCAAATAGCAAAGCTTTTATTATTTGGATAAATAATAAAATAATGTTGTTGGTTTTCACAATTATTCAAGAAAATAAGAAAATTATTTTTTAATTAATTAGATTGCATTTTAGCAAAGCTTATTTATTCACAAATGTAAATTCAATAGAATATTCCTTGTTTAGAGACTTTTAAAACTAACCTATTTAACTACTTGCAGCTACTCTTTCATTCAAGAAACGGAAAGGCAATTAATACACTTGGTGCATTGCTCAACTTCAATTTACGTGCATAATGTTGCAATAACCCCTGGCTGATGTTGTTACTTTTATAAGGTATGTTTTTGTTGTATATTTACTGTACCTAGTTCTTTAAAACAAGAAGTCATAATCCAGGTCACTGTTGATAATTCCAAATCTATGTAATGTTTTCAGACGGATTAGTTATTCCAGCGTCTTTTGGTTTGGTGGAATAGTCCTTTAAATATTTTTACAAGTACAGCGTAGCCAAAAAGAGCTTTCTATAACCTGTCTCATCAGTACTAGTAAAACGTGAAGGGGTTTCATACATATTCGGTGTAAGTTTATCATCGGCATCTGGGTAAAGTCCAGGAGTCTGCGCTGATCGTCCGTCTCTTCCTCGATCTTAACGTTGATTTCTGTCTGATCGTCCATCTCTTCCTCGATCTTAACGTTGATTTCTGTCTGATCGTCCATCTCTTCCTCGATCTTAACGTTGATTTCTGTCTGATTCTCCATCTCTTCCTCGATCTTAACGTTGATTTCTGTCTGATCGTCCATCTCTTCCTCGATCTTAACGTTGATTTCTGTCTGATCGTCCATCTCTTCCTCGATCTTAACGTTGATTTCTGTCTGATCCTCCATCTCTTCTTCGATCTTGACGTTGATTTCGTTCAACTCTGTGAATGTTTCTTCAGCAGGAGTTACCTGCACGTTTATAAACTCTCCCTGAGGTTGAACTGAAGACATTTTTACTGCAAACCCTAAAATATTTACCTAAAACACCAAACTCGTCTTCAGACAACCGTCTCACAAAAGAAAAGCTAATGCTAGCCCGTGTGCTGTTTGTATCTTTCGTGTGTTTCACTCTGGCTGTACTGAAGCAACGGTAAACGACTTTTAGTTCCGCTTTGAATTTTCCGCTTTGAGCCTCCTCTTATAAGTTTTATTAAATAAAATAGTGTTCTTGGGAGGTCCATACATTGTTAGTGTAATTTTTGGAAAATAGCTTTTTTTAGTTGTTTGTATAATTTTATATGGAAATACTTACCTACTTTCATAGCAACGATCTTTGTAAGCCTGAAATGTTGGTTTGTGATAACTTTGTGATAACTCAAGACCAAGAATAAGTAGGGAGTGCATAGTTAGAACAGATTGAAAACAACACTGAGCATGCATTTTTACAATAATTAATAAAGTGCCGCTTGAGTGAAAATCACTCATGTCTGCTTGGTACCTAAGAGTGAACATTTAGCTCTGTTGTTTTACCTGACTATTCTGTGGTCATTATTAATTTATTTCAGTACTTCAGATCACCAGAGTAGTATATAAAATAATGACACAAACTAATGTTTTCAAGCTTTTTCAGTTAATTATGAAATTTTATGCTTTTTATTAAATGTTTTTATAAAAGCTTTATTTACTAAAGTTTTTCATAAAATGTTTATATTAAACTTTTAATGTTCAAATAAAAAAAAATACATTTTGTCAGAAATGTGGCCTGACACGGAAGCATCTTCATGCTGCCACCTACTGACAAGAACCTGCTACTACACCTACATTGTTTCAGCTGTTGTAGAAATCAGTGACTCCGCCATTTTTCTACAATCTGTGCTTCTGAATTTATTTCAATGGATTTTAAACATTCATATGTTTAAATAGTCACATTCAATAACATGGAATATTAAGTTTATTTCAGTGGCTCAGTCAGTTCAGTGAGTGAATGATGTGATTAGAATATAACTTCAGATCAACAAACAGAAATATTTTATTTCACAAATGTGGGTTTGAAGTCAGTTATCCAAAAACGCTTTTTAATCTTACAAAAGAACCTCATTGGAAAGTATAATTCATTGAGTTTAAGTCTTCTTAGTACGTACAAGAGTGGCTAAAATTATTTTAATGGCACATCGGGTTGTAGTTTATAGGGTTAGGGTTATAGGGTTTACATTGTTGGTTGACTTCTGCTGTGATATAGTATTACTGACCAATTTTATTTCTAAAAGAATGATGGTTTTCAATTAGTTTTAATGAAAAACGTTTGACCCTATGCGAATAACTGTGAAAAGTTGAGTATGTTTTGATTTTTTAAAATGTATTTTTAAGTAAAACATCTCAATTTAAAGTATTGGGGTAGTAGGACACTTGGTGTAATGGAATAAAAATATTTTAGTCTGCTAGAATTTATTGTTTTTTTCACTCACGGTCTATATTGTCCGTAATAGAGTTGACATAACATACCGCAAAACATATGTTTTTTCTGAGAAAAAATTATAAAATATGTAGCTAATGTTTGGCAATTACAGATTTTTTTTTAAAGTTTAATGCCTTTTTCAGTAGACTACCTAAAGAACTTTTTAAGAAATGAAAAGCTTGTCATTTCTTGAAGTGCCAAATGTATCTCCAATTATAGAATACCTTCAGAAATACCTTCACGTTTTTACTGATGAGATTTAGAAACAGGTTAAAGACAACAAGACACAAGATAGGAATTTTCTTTGGGCTGATGTTGAACTCAAAATAAAGTACTCAGGAATAACAAATCTGTTTCAGCTGGAAATATTAAATAATTAGAATGATAAACCCTGACCTTTACCATTTGCTACTCATTATATAAGATCAAAACATAGTTTATGTTCAATGACTCCCTCAGCTCGACCTCACCAGCTTAAGAAAGCACTAAAGTTTATGCTTAAAATGATTAATTGTACTTATGTTTTGTAAGTACAATTACAAAGTACAAAACATAAGTACTTTTGGCTCATATTTTGTGTTCTCTTTTAATTGTATAAGTAAAGCACTTAGTCTGTTAAGTGTTCATTGAAAAATGAATATTGACTTTATTAAAATTCATGCAATGGCAGCGAGGAAGAGATGGGTTCTGTGAACTGCTGCTGTTTGTATAATAAAGGTTTTCCTGATTTACTATTTGTTTCAAACAGAAGGTTTTACTCCAGTCTCTTGATTCCAGCCAAATCAATGAACGACCAAAGCAGAATTCAAAGATGGAGGTTTGTACTTATGTAAATCTATTCTGTCACAATCTAATAGACAGAAAAAAAAGAAAAATACCCTGATTATGATACTTTATAAGCTGAAAAACAGCAAATGAGCACACGGGAGACGCAGTCCATGATACTCATATCATATCATTTATTGAACAAACCAGTTCAGCCCAATTTACAGTTCACTAATTTACTGCATATATAATCTACATATTCCATCAGACATAAACAGCAATATTAGCTTTCCTTAAACCAGAAATAATCCCATCAACATCATATTTTGTCACAATTCCATTAGGTGACATGTGCATATTTAATCACAGACAGGGTTCATGGGTATTCGTAAATTGGCATAACTATCTTTGAATTCAAAATACTTTAATCAAGTGAATGCATTAAATCTCAGCTGATAAAAAACGGCAGAGGAACAGGCAGCTCAGAGTCCCCATACACCGCCTACTGGTGAAACACTGTTACTACACCCATAGTCATTAACCCTTGTCCCTCAGTGGGGTCGGGAGGGGTGCTGGTGCCTCTCCAGCTAGCGTTCTGGGCGAGAGGCGGGGTACACCCTGGACAGGTCGCCAGTCTGTCGCAGGGCAACACAGAGACACACAACCATGCACACACACACTCACACCTGGGGGCAATTTGGAGAGGCCAATTAACCTGACAGTCATGTTTTTGGACTGTGGGAGGAAACTGGAGTACCCGGAGAAAACCCACACATGCACAGGGAGAACATGCAAGCTCCATGCAGAAAGACTGGGGCTGGGAATTGAACCCAGAACCTTCTTGCTGCCAGGCAACAGCTCTACCAACTGAGCCACTGTGCAGCCCCAGTAAAATAACAGCTTCTTCTAACTCTGCAATAAAGAAATGCATGCTCCTTTTTTTTCCCCTTTTATGTGCACAGACCAGTGGGCATCACAATTATATAAAAAGTTTTTATCATTTTTTAAAATCAAAAATTCAATCCATATCATCAATACATTTTCTAAGCAGAAAAAAACATTAAAACCATGACAAAAATGCATCAATTTCTCCAAATCATTGAAATAAAACAGATAAGTACAAAGGAAAAACACACAATGAAGATTACGAACTCATTGTTTCTTTGAGAGACAATCTCTCCCCTACTTTGAATAAATACAATGGAAATAAAAAACTGCCAGAATGAAGTGAATGTTCAAGTATTCCAGCTAAATATCAGATTTTAAATGCTTTTTGTACAAAGCTGCTACATTTAAAAATGTAAGTCGGTTTCAATTACTCCACTTCCAAACAGCAAGTTACTGAGAATCTTACTTGAGGTTCACATTGTGCCATCAAACTGTGAGTTCTCATGTGAACGGTTACATTTCTTTTGAGTGAAATATTTTCTACAGGACCAACAACAGAAAGGCTTCTAACGTGTGTGAATCTTCATGTGATAACGTAAACTGGATCTACGCACAAAACAATTTCCACAGATCTCGCATGAGAATGGCTTCTCACTTGATCTTGTGTGAATTTTCATGTGAACACTTAAACTGTAATTATGAGTGAACCTTTTTCCACAGGTCCCACATATGAATGGCTTCTCACCTGTATGAATCTTCATGTGAGAATTTAAACCGTGTTTTCCAACAAAACTTTTTCCACACGTCCCACATGAGAAAGGCTTCTCACCTGTGTGAGTTCTCATGTGATAAACTAAGTGAGATTTATTTATGCATTTTTTTCCACAGGTGCCACAAGACAAAGCCTTCTCACCCGTGTGAAATCTCATGTGAATATTTAAATTGTTTTCATAAGCGAAACGTTTTCCACAGGTTCCACACAAGAAAGGCTTCTCACCTGTATGACTTCTCATGTGAGCAGTTAAGCTATTTTTATAAGTTAAACCTTTTCCACACATCTCGCATGAGAAAGGCTTCTCACCAGTGTGAATTCTCATGTGAAGTTCTACACGTTTTTTAAGAGTGAAACTTTTTCCACAGGTCCCACATGAGAAAGGCTTTTCACCTGTGTGAAATCTCATGTGTACAGTTAAATTAAATTTACAACTGAAACTTTTTCCACAGGTCGCACATGAGAAAGGCTTCTCACCTGTGTGAGTTCTCATGTGATTAACTAAGTCAGATTTATTCAAGCACTTTTTTCCACAGGTGCCACAAGAGATAATCCTCTTACCTGTGTGAAATCTCATATGAACAGTTAAACTTTCTTTATGAGTGAAACGTCTTCCACAGGTGCCACATGAGAAAGGCTTTTCACCTGTGTGAACTCTGATGTGATTAACCAACTGAGGTTTCTTCCGGAAACTTTTTCCACAGATCTCACAAGAGAAAGGCTTATCTGCATGAATCGCCATATGAGTAAGTAACTGATAATTACAAACAAAACTTTTCCCACAGATTGTGCACGTGTAAGGCCTCTCACCTGTGTGAATTCTCATGTGTCTGCTTAAAGAGCCGTTTAGATGGAAACTTTTTCCACAATCTGCACATGTAAATGGTTTTTCGCCTGTATGAATTCTCATGTGATAACTAAAAGTACTCTTGTAAGCGTAATGTTTTCCACAGATTGAACATGTGAAAGGTTTCTTAGCCATGTGAGTTGTCATGTGTGCTGTCAAGGAATTATTTCGAGAAAAAGTTTTATCACAAATTTGACAAGAATATAGTTTTTGGTTTGGGTGAGCTTTCTTGTGTGTTTTTTGTTTTGAACTGTCAATTTTGTCTTTCTGCTGCTTGTTCACCAACATGTCGTCAGTCTCCCGTTTCAGAACAAGCTGGTCTTCATCCACTTCCTCTTTGAAATCTTGAGTTTCTGGTTGCTCTCGTTCCTGTTTTATCTGCAGAGGTTCTGGTTCCTCTTGTTCCTGTTTTATCTGCAGAGGTTCTGGTTCCTCTT